GTCTTAATTGAACTTTTGCTAAACTTTGCATATAAGGACCACTTGTTCACTCTACCAAGACACCTGACAGTGGCACTTCTAGCTTGCCTGCCCATGGTGGCTAGTGTTCACCTTTGTTCTATGCCATGCCCAGGAGCTCACGTTCCACCCTTTCTAATGGTCTTGGTTATGACCTAGCCCTGTTGTTCTGGGAACCTACTTTCAGATTGGGTCAAAAGACATCAGACACTTGGGGAAAAAAACTAAGATCACTGTCTCTGGGTCTGAATAAATGTTTCCCTTCATCCAACACCCCACACCCATATTATTATTATATAATCACTAATTTTCAAAAAATATAAGTGACATCAAAGAGTAACTCTGGAAAAATTACTGCCCCCACTGTGTTATAATAAAGAAGAGACTAATGCTGTGCTTTATAGGTTGGTTCATATTCTGTACCCATAACTGATATAAAATTCTTTTTCAAACAATGCTATAAAAATGAAGGGCAAAAAAATCAATAAATAACCACCAGAAACCATTCATTCATTCATTCATCCCCAAATTCCCTAAAATAAATGGTATTCTTAGTAATAAGCTTAATCTTGTTATACATAATGAATGGGTCCCTTCTAAAATATTCCTCTGTTTACATTTCCTGAACCTAGCATGATATTTTACATGGAGTGGACATTCAATAAGTTCTTGAGGCAGAAAGGAAGGAGCAAAGGAAAGATAGTAGGAAAGAAGGGGGGAAATCTTCCTTGCATTTGCTTATGTAATGAAGATAACTAGACATGCAATATTTTTTATGAAGAAAAACAAGATGTAAAATGGGAAATAAAATATTATGTTAAGGGGCCCCATGAATTTGAAATAAGGACTGGGAATTTGGACTCTTGAGGGGTTTTTTACTCTTTTTGGTTCTTAACCTGTGTTCTCTCCCGTTCTTTGTTCCTTATCCAGAAATGATAAATGTGCATATTTCACTTGATGACGTTCATATCTGGAATCTGATCATGGATCATTTGAAACGCAGGAACTTACCTCATTCTTTTTTTTTTTAAGATTTATTTTTTTGAAAGAGAAAGAGAGAGAGAATGAGCAGGGGTGGGGGCAGAGGGAGAGGGAGAGCGAGAATCCCAAGACTCCACGCTGAGGGGAGCCTAACAAGGAGCTCAATCCCAGAACCCCGAGATCATGACCTGAGCTGAAACCAAGAGTTGGCCACTCAACTGACTAAGCCACCCAGGTGCCCCTGCATTCTTTAATATAGTGATGTTTGGGGGCGCCTGGGTAGATCAATTGGTTGTGTCTGACTCTTGGCTTCAGCTCAGGTCATGATCTCATGGGTCATGGAATGGAGCCCCGCATTGGGCTCCAGGCTCAGCGGGGAGTCCGCTTGTCCCTCTCCCTCTGCTCCTCCTCCCACTCATAGTCTCTCTCAAATAAATAAATCTTAAAAAAATGATAGACTGATGTTTGTATTGGTTAGTCCTTGTGGAAAACATGGAAGGTGAAACTACACCAAAAAAAAAAAAAACCCCCCCCACACACACACACAAAAAAACCAACACAAAAGTCACTTTCATTTACATTTCTTCTATGAAACAAATCCAGATATCACCATCCCACCTAATTCTTTAAGTGACTTGTTTTTCAGATGCTTCTGTTTTTCCAGTTTCATCACAGTTTTGGTTAAGGACTTGGAGAGTGGAATGACAGCTATATTTCCACTTGCTTTACACCATTTTATTTCCAGTACATATCACCTCACAGTGTGCTCCCTTGTGACACATTATGGGATCAGTAAATTAAAAATGAAAGGTGTGGTTGATGACTGACTGCTCTCTAATTACCCAGAGTGTTTGTCAAAGGCAGTAGGCAGAAGGCATAAACCCCATTTTGCTGTTATATTGACTGTCAAGTTTATAGCTCATTTCTGCTAGCATAGAAAACTTCCCCAATAAGGGAATCAATCCCCTCAGCATCAGGATAAACAGACAGTGAAGAAAATGATCTAGTGATCAAGCTGGTTCATCCCATGCTTTCAAAATAAGAAGCCTATCTGGGATGAGTGTTTCTCAACCTGTTGTCACCCCATTATTGAGACTTTTTAAACATCTTTTCCTAATAGCTCATCCACAAAATGTTAATACCATAGGTATACTTTTTATCTGTGTATGGACAGTGGTCCTTTGGAGGAGTATAAGCCATTGTAACATCTTAACTTTTTTTCTCCCCACTAAGAACAATTTCCATCATCTTGAGAATGCATGTCTTGGATTATGCTTGCTAGTACACACTGAATTCTGATGATGTTTCACCATTCTGTATGCAAAGCTACCCTATTCTGGAGTATTCAACTCAAGAAAATGTAAGATAGAAAATGGTTCTTTAGCAAATCATTATTATCAACTGAGAGAACAAATCTCCTTCCTCTCCTAAAAAGGAGGAAGCCCTAATAATATTAAAGAGCAATATGATTCCCAAGTCAAAATGGTGTCCAAATCAAAAATCTCACACCCACAATTTCAAACTCCTCCACCTACAGGGAGAGGGGCTGGCTTTGCTCTCAGAAAGGATAAGACTATGAGCTTGCAACAGTTACCATCTCATTTACTTGTTTATCAGCACACATTTATTGAGCTCTGTAGACTTTCAACTCTGTGAGGGCGGGGATCGTGTTTGATTTTTGCTCACCACTGTAGAACAAAGGACAGAAAGAAGGAAGGGAGAAAGGAAGGAAAGAGAAAGACAGGGTACTATGCTAAGTGATTTGAACACCGCCTCCAAGAATATTATATGTAGTGTGAAGATACAGATATGTAAAAACAAAGTAAAATATTATAATAATTTTCATTAAAAAGATACATAGCTATGGTGAGGTTACAAATTAGTGGTTAATTCTATCTAGTTAGAGGTGGGGGGAAGTGAAATAGGTTACGAGAATGTTCAAGGAGACAGTGTATACAGATTTTTGTAGGCCCTTGGGGTACTCTTGGCTGTATAGTCTCCTTCCTCCATAAAAACACATTTAAATATAACATAACTGTGGTACAGCAAGATGAGTATAATTATCAGGGCAGTCTAGGAACACATAACTGGGAGGTCCAGCAAAGACCTCCAGGAGGGGCAAGATGTTTAAGTGAAAGAAAGGCTAAGGACAAGCTGAAAGAGTGGCCGAGAGACAGGGAACCGTGTAGAGAGAACAGCTTGTTCAAAGGCCTGGAAGTGAGAGATCTGTTATGACTAGATGAAAGAGAGAGAGAGATAAAGAGGAGCAGGGTGCGAGATTAGAGAGGAAGGTGGAGGTAAGACTGCAGCAGGTCCTGCCTATGTTTTAAAAGTCTGGCTTTATCCTAAAGATAATAAAAAGCCATTTAAAAGCATCTATGTTATGGGTGCCTGGGTGGCTCAGTTGGTTAAGCGACTGCCTTTGGCTCAGGTCAGGATCCTGGGGTCCTGGGATCGAGCCCCACATCGGGCTCCCCCTGCTCTGCGGGGAGCCTGCATCTCCCTCTGCCTGCCGCTCCCCCAGCTTGTGCTCTCTCTCTCTGTCAAATAAATAAATAAAGTCTTTTTTTTAAAAAAGCATCTATGTTAGGAACCAACAGGATCAAGTTTACATTTTGGATATTCATTCAAGCTACATTACAGCCAATGGGCTGGAGAGGGTATAGTGGATATTCTGGGGGTCCACCGGGCCCCCTCTTCAAGATCCATGTACCTATCCCCAGCTTCTGGAAACACTGGCTTTTGAAGGCTCACAGCTGATACATTCGATGGGAGTTGCCCCCAGCCACAGGGAACTACCTTTCCCAAGAGCAGACCCTCCCCCAGAGAGCACCCATGGCCATGACTGGCTAATGTGGAGATACAAAGGCCCAGGTACCTTATCTCAATCAGGGACAACCTCAGCTCCTAGGCTTCTGGAAGGATTGGCTAAAGCCTCTGTTGTAATCATGTTGCTGGTCACTTCTCCCTCTGCCTAATCCTACACTTATTAGTTTCCTATTGCAGCATAACACCTTACTGCAAACTCAGTGGCTTAAAAAAAGCACACATTTATCATCTCACAGTGTCCCTGGGTCAGGAGTCTGGGCACATCTTAACTGGGTCCTCTGCTCATGCTGCAATCAAAGTGTTGACCAGACGGCATTCTCATCTGGAGACAGTTTGGGGAAAAATCCACTTCCGAGCTCACTTTAGTTGTTGACAGATTTCATTTTCTTGTGGCTGAAGGACTGAGGACCTCAGCTTCTGGCTGGCTGTTGGCAGAAGCTGTCTTCAGTGCTGAGAGGCCACCAATAATTCCTAAAGTCTGCTCACAGTCTCTTTCATGTAGGCTTTCCAAACATGGCCATTTACTTAATCAAGCCAGCAAGGAGAGTCTCTAGAACAAGTCTGCTAGCAAGACAGACTCAGACATAATATAAAGTAATTGCAGGAGTAACATCTCTTCATCTTTGCTGTAGTCCATGCAGAAGCAAGTCAGAGGTCCCATCCTCACTCAAGGAGAGGGGTTACATAAAGGCATGAACATTAGGAAATAGCAGACATCTTAGAGTCTATTTGCCACACCTACCTTCCTCACTTCTTACAGGTGTATCTCCTGAGAGCACTCCCCAATAAACCTTCTGCCTGCAACTACCCATCTTGGAGTCTGTATCTGGGGAGCAACACTGGGGCAGTAAAGGGAGTTAGAAACTGTTGCTGTAACATCAACTATGGGTGATAGCAGTAGGAGACTGAGCAGCAAATTTTCTTTCTATTCATAAATGTATAATAATTTATTATTAGAGATTAGAATAGTCATGGCCTATCTGGAAATAAAATGAAGTCTACAAACTATAAGATGTCTTCAAGCAAGGATACACACAACAAAAATAATTCATTTCTAGGGTTGTAGAACAGATTACACATAACTAGTAAAAATTAGGCTTACTAATTTCCACAGTATGAAAATAAATCTCAGACCACAATCAGTCACATAATTAAAAAGAGATGATTAGCACTTTTATTAAATTCACGGAGATTGTACTTTTACAAATTGCAGAAATAGTCAACCAATAGGGCTGCCTTATTAGAGAATGATAGAGAATAAGTTAAGTATTGGTATGATAACAGGATCAAATTCCACCTTGTGTACTGACACTCCCACTTTCATCATTCATATCCCATTACAAACATTGTATTTTATTCTTCCTTAGTCATATACAGAGTGATATAAACAATATTCAAAAAGGATCCATTTTCAAAGATTTTTACACCATATTATGCATATTCTCCACTGGAAAAATATCTCTCCGTAGGTCTTCAAAGTGTGAAAAAATATATATTTCCGGAAATGTTTAATACTAATGCACTTTTAAACCAATAACTAAAGACACCGCATGACTACATTTACACATTGTGTTGTCAGAGAAATATTTTAGAATATTTTAAGTAGTCAACAGCTTACGATTCCAGTGGTCTTCATGGGTATAAATGACGGCCTTTTACTTTCATGCACATGCAAAATTTCTTAGAAAAGAAGAGTGGTGAAACAAAATAGATGATCTGCCCTTGATAATTTATAATGCTCAGCAGTTGCACAGAAACAAGTGTTGAGTTCCTAGGGGGAGCAAAACAGCAGCCCTTCAGAGAGGGGTAAGCCGCTCATCCTCTGTCATGAAGGCATCATTAATGTGCCCCCCCTTCATGTCCAGAGGATCGCAGGGGATGCCATTCTCAATTGTGATCATGTTTTCACACTTATCTTCAGTGTCATCCACTTCAGATGGTCCTTTGCTCTTCCTAAATGCACACAAAAAGAATGATTGGGGTCTAGAAGAAGAAAGCCTGGTCTTCTGTACAAACATGGAGGGCAAGAGAGGGAAGAGGAAACTTAGAATGGTGAAATAATTGATGGCATTCCATACTTCAAATAAACTACAAAGCTCATAAAGAGCTAATGAGGTGAAAAGTTGCTACAAGATAAGAAATCTACATGGATGGGGCTCATCAATGGATACCCAACCATTGAGTAAGAGATGATTTGGGAACAGAGTATTCACACAGTCTCAGTCTATCACCCCCACAAGCAATGTACTGATTATAGAGATATTTGTATTTTGTCAAGGAAGAAATCTGGTGAACATCACCAAAAATGAGACAAATTGACAAGTGCCTCCAGATATGATGCACTGAGATTTTATCTATAAAATTCTGTGTTCTGTGTTCCTACCCCGCCTCATCACCAATTTTTTTTTTTTTTTACCTGAATCTCTCAGGAGGAAGTAATCAGACAAGTCCAAATTTTAAAATATTTTTTTTGGTGGGCAATACACCCATATAAATTTTAAAATATTTTATAAAATAGCTGATCTGGACTCAGCACAGAGTAGGCACTCAAGTGATGTGCTTAGAGTTGGATGGACAGACATGGATGGACACGGATAGTTGGCTAGCTAGTTAGACAGACGGATGCATCAATAAATGTAGATCAATGGCTGGTTGGCTGGATGATAAATTAATGGATGGATGGACTAATGCTGCAGGCAAAGTTACTTAGACAGTAGCCCAAGGTAGATCTTGAATAGGATCCACCACAGAAAGAGAAAGAAAGAAAAGAAAAGAAAAGAGAAGGGAAGGGAAGAGAAGGGAGAATATATACACACATAATATTTCTTTTTTTTTTTTTACACACATAATATTTCTTGTATCTCTTGTATTCTTGCTTTTCCAAATGAATGGAGGAAAATATTTGTTTTCCTACCTTAGGAATAAGGAGTTAGTATAGATTTTGCCAGGCTTAGCTGATGGTTTATTAGATAATTCCAAACAGCTGAGGTTCATAAAGAAAGGTAAAGTATCATTCCAATACTGTAGATTCCACTGTCATCACTTGAAAATATTTTGCTATTAGATATGCCACTGTCAGGTGTCACAATTTATCACTACAGGCCTAATGCTACGTTAAAGTTGGGGGGTCCTAGTCCCAGAGACCTAGGAATGGATAAGCTGCTGTGTTTTTCCATCCTCAGGGTAAAGACACTGTACTGGCCATTCTAAGCTTCAGCCATCAGCAATTAGGGCAGGTTGGGGTGAGCACAAAGTTTCATGTGATGAGGAGGTCCAACAGCCAGGTGAAATCACCTACCAGAGGACCAGAATACTTTGCCCCCTCTCTTGTGGACGGGAGTATTGTTACTTTCCATGTCCTCCAAAAGGCAAAAGCAGTTGACATTCTATAACCATCAATCATCATTTCCATTCATAGTACCCAACATTCATTGAATAACTATGTTTTGAGTTACTACTATGTGTTCAAACAGACAGTCCTTGTCTTAAAATGAAAAGAAAGGACTTAATAAAAGGGGAAAACTCCAAATTTCACTCATCCTCCCTCCCCATTTTTATGGATTATAAAAAAGAGCAGTGATGTTTCAGTAGGGATGAAGCCCCAGTAGTAACAAATGGATATTTATAAATTATCATCAAAAAATGTCTAGTTTGTGCAATTTCCCCCACACTCACTCCTCACTGGTCTTGGAGTGAATAAGAATTCTCCACAACAATAAACAGATTTTAAACAGTCAAATCTTACTCTAAAATATATATATTGTGTATATAAGTATGAAACTCATATTACAAAAATCTTAGTGGAGGGAGTATTCTAAAGCAGGTGGTAATGCAATGGGAGTCTTAGAAATAGACACCAGCTCCTTCAGTTAAAAAAGTGTTTTTACCAGGGCACCTGGGTGGCTCAGTCATTAAGCGTCTGCCTTCGGCTCAGGTCATGATCCCAGGGTCCTGGGATCAAGCCCCACATCGGGCTCCCTGCCCTGCGGGAAGCCTGCTTCTCCCTCTCCCGGTCCCCCTGCTTGTGTTCCTGCTCTCGCTATCTCTCTCTGTCAAATAAATAAATAAAATCTTTTAAAAAAAAAGTGTTTTTACCAAGTTAGATGAAAAATCACAGGGAGCTGGACACATGCAGATCACTGCAAGGAATCTCACTTTCCCCTCCCAACCATAAAGGAGAACTAATCCATTAGGTCTCACAAAGGAATGGGGAAGAACTAAAAAGAAAGATGCAAACAGACGGGGACAAGTTTGTCTTCTTTAGAAGAAGGATTTCTCAACCAAAAAGATTCTGAGCAAAATGGCTGTGGAAATGCATCTAATGGAGCTGTGCCAGTGCTTTTGTGACCTTAGATCCAGTTGTTCAGAGTCTTGGCATTACAAACTGCAGTGTCAGTAACGTGCTGGCTGGACACAATAAGCGGCTCGAAGGTTATCTAACAGTAATACGGCACTTGGTCACATTTCATAGTGTGCACTGTAATAAACTGATTCACTACCTCTGCACTGCTCTTACTAACAATAATAAAACTTAACTATCTTTCTGGATCATTCTGATTTGATGTTCTGCTTAAAACATGAATTCTTTTTCCTGAAAAATAAAATTGAGTGTTAATGACTTCCTCTGTTCTTGCAATGTCCGGTGGTTTAGGAAGAAGATTTTTTTAAAAAAGTAACTAAAATACCTGAAACTAGTTCTTAAAAACCTTGAGAGTACATACTTCTCATAAGTCCAGAGAGAAGAGCGGCAAAAGAGGGGACCAAAAAAAAAGATCAGGTTACCCTCAGAGCTAAGGGGTGTTGAGGAGCAGGGTTTGCTCAAGATAAAGTAGTGGTGGGGCGCCTGGGTGGTTCAGGTGGTTAGGCGTCTGCCTTCTGCTCAGGTTGTGGTCCCAGGGTTCCTGGGATTGAGCCCCGAGTCGGGCTCCCTGCTCAGGGAGCCTGCTTCTCCCTCTCTCTCTGCTGCTCCCCCTGCTCATGCTCTCACTCACTCAAATAAATAAATAAATAAATAAATAAATAAATAAATAAATAAATAAATAAATAAATAAAATCTTTTTAAAAGAAAGATAAGAGGCACCTGGGTGGCTCAGTCATTAAGCATCTGCCTTCAGCTCAGGTCATGATCCCAGGGTCCTGGGATCGAGCCCCCATTAGGCTCCCTGCTCAGAGGGAAGCCTGCTTCCCCCCTCCCACTCCCTCTGCTTGTGTTCCCTTTCTCGCTGTGTCTCTGTCAAATAAATAAATAAAATCTTTCAAAAAAAAAAAAGATAAAGTAGTGGTGGCTGAAAGCACAAAGAATATTTCTGTCTCCCTTCAAACTAGATAGGGCTGAAGAGCCAAGGCCCAAGAATAGCCAGAAAAACAACAAAGGATAGACAAATATGATTTTGAAACAGAACAGAATTAATTATTGGCAAATGAGAACTATCCTCATAATCAGTATGGATGATTCCTGGGGAAAATGTCAGTGTTACTGGAATGATTTCAGTGGGCATTGCAGTCCAGTCAGATTGATGGGCTTTAGGATCCAGCCTATCTGGTTTTAAATACAGTTACTACTAACTTTCTGACCATGTGACTATAGGCAGGTTGCTTTATGTCTGCTGTGTGGTAGTGATAATAATAGTAATTAGTGGGGCGCCTGGGTGGCTCAGTCATTAGGCGTCTGCCTTTGGCTCAGGTCATGATCTCAGGGTCCTGGGTTCGAGCCCCGCATCAGGCTCCCTGCTCCGCGGGAAGCCTGCTTCTCCCTCTCCCACTCCCACTCCCCCTGCTTGTGTTCCCTCTCTAGCTGTGTCTCTCTCTGTCAAATAAATAAATAAAATCTTTAAAAATAATAATAATGATGATGATAATTAGTAACTACTACATGACAGAAACCAGACTAAGTGCTTTTTTTCTCATTTAGTTCCTATTTATCTCATTTAATCATCTCATTTAATTCCTATTGCAATATTATAAAGATTTTATTATTATCCCTGCTTTTCTTTCTTTTTTTTTAAAGACTTTATTTATTTGAGAGAGAGAGCACAGAGGGAGAGTGAGAGGGAGAAGCAGACTCCCGACTGAGCAGAGAGTCCGGGAGGCTTGATCCCAAGACCCTGAGATCATGACCTAAGCCGAAGGCAGACGCTTAAGCAACTGAGCCCCTTATTATCCCTGTTTTTCAAATGAAGGAGCTAAGACTCAACTATGTAGAGCAGCTTATCTTTGAGAATGGAACAAGATTGGTGAAACCAGTGGACCTAGAACTCTACTTAATCTCCCCAGGCTTCACTCAAAACACATATTTGATTCCTATTGAGTATGTACATTTAAGAACAGCAAAGGAAAACAATTAGCTCTAACATTTCTGATTTTATTTACACATCTATTTTTGAGACTTAACTAAAACTTTGTAAGAATGTGAAATTTCAGTATATGAAAATGTTGGCTGAGCCCCATCCCCTTGTTTGAAAAGCAGTATTTGTAGAAATCTAAATGTATTTCTGCTTACTACTGACCTTATGGGAATAGAATTATAACCAGAAATAAACCAAGTGAATTTACTAATGACTCTGCTCAACTGTGAGCATTAGCTAGGATTCTATGTCCTGAGTCCTTAACCTGGCTTTGTTACCAAGTGCAAGACTATAATCTCCTTGTAGGCAGGGACCATCCACGTTATCTGTGTATGTATCTTCCCTGATAAATACTAGAGCTCCCATCACAGAATGGATGGTCAATAAAGGAATAAGGTATTTTTTACCTCTTTGGGCCTTGGCTTCTGGAGAGCTTAATTTAGAGCACTTTCCAGTGTATAAAGCACTTGTGTGTATTCTCTAACTTTGTCTTCTCATCATCATAACTATTTTTTTTTAAGATTTTATTTATTTATTTGACAGAGAGAGACACAGCGAGAGAGGGAACACAAGCAGGGGAAGTGGGAGAGGGAGAAGCAGGCTCCCCGCGGAGCAGGGAGCCCGATGCAGGGCTCGATCCCAGGACCCTGGGATCATGACCTGAGCGGAAGGCAGACGCTTAACGACTGAGCCACCCAGGCGCCCCCATCATCATAATTATTTAAGAAAATATTATCCTCATTTTCCATATGTGACCGGCTCAAGATCACCCAGATAATAAGCACCAGAGCCTGAGACTGGAACCCAAAACCAAGAGTATCAATCCAGTGCTTTTTCTACTAAAACACACATCACACCAACTGCATCACCGTTGTCATTGTCACATCACCATGGCCATCACAACCATTGCTATCGTCATCATTATCATCATCATAAAGCTGAACAGAGAACTAAAACATCTACTTGTGGGCCAGCACTAGACACAGATCTAGTACGGACATCATTGTGGAGTACATGCATTTCATCTTGGGTACCTGCCCACCTACCCAGCTGCCTAATTGTTTCCCAAAAGTAAAAAAAAAAAATCATTTTGAAGCTTTTTTTCCTTCAACAAGTCTCTCATTTCCACAAACTGCTATTCTCAACTAGATGGTAATAGCAAAGCAACTTCCTCAAATTATTTCACAAGGAGGTGGCATTTGTAATGGTGTGCTGAAGCTGGCTGGTATAGGATTGCGACAGGTGATTGTTAAATATTCAGAAATTTCATACCTGATAAGAAATCAACAAATGCTACAAATTGGGATTTTTTTTTTTACAAAGCTGGTTAACCAGTTCACCACTATTATAGTAAACAGTAACCCTAATAAGATCATTTGCTTTTTAACATATGTGTTTGTTAACTAATAAAATCCCAAACAATGAGCCATTGAACCGGAAAATTTTTTATAGTATCGTGACAATTTCTGAATGAAAACGAGATCTCTTTTCAGTATCTCTTAGTCACAGAAATGGGTTAAGCTGATCTTGGATAATAATACTGTTTATTTAGTGCATGCTAGGTACTTTATACACATTTATCTCATCCAATCTTCATGGAAGCCCTGTGAGATATTATCTTCTTCCTACAGATGGAGAAACAGTCCCATGGAAATTGGATGACTCGACCAAGGTCATTTGACTAAAGGGTACAGCTAGTGTTTGAGTTCACTAGCTTGGCCCCCAGTGACTGTATACTTTACAGCCAGCAGCTATGAACAATCAATGTAATGCTGTTACTGAAACAGGTAAAAGAATTGTTAAGGCTTTCCTTGAGAAATTTCCTCAACAGTAAGTTTAAATATGCATACGTCGTAGATGACAGTGGCACTCTTCTCCACAGAAGCAAAATGGTAACTGAGATGACCCTGCAGTCTCTCCTGGCCTTCTAAATGTAAGATTTTGTATAATGCAAACTATGTTTGTTAATATCTAATGTATGGATTGAATTGTTGAGCAAGTCTTTGTCTTCCTCAGGACTAAAGGCATTGGAGGCAACTCCTGCCTTTTCCATGATTAGAAAGGGCTTTCATCACCATTACCAGGGCTCTCCCCACTCCAGACTGCACCCTCTCCACACCTTCGAAGCAATACTTTGCTCAAGAGAAGCCCACCACAGATTGTATCTAACTTAAAACACAACAAATCAATTTATCTTCAGAAGGTTGTCATAACTGTCCTGACTCTATTTGCCAATTAGTGATGCTCTCCAGGTTTACGCAAGAGATTTGTCTGTCTGTTTCCCTAGTCTGAACACAAAATAAATTTGCGAAGGCAAGGTTGTGACAACAGCCTCATTTCTCCTGGGCAACAGATTATGATGCTACACACCCAATTATTATATTACTGCAGAACCTGCTCAGCAGGAAAGAGATAGCACAAGCTGGAAGACCAGCAAATGGCAGGATAATAAAATAACAGTAACAGCTAACACTTACTGAGCGCTCACCATGGGCCAGGAACCACTCTAAGCACGCCACAGCATTAACTCTTTTTATCCCACCAAGTTCATTATTTCTGGTATACCTCACTGTCACTCTAGCAAAGTTATCTCTGCACAGGCAAGAAAGAAAGATTTAACCAATTCGACACTAGCACCACAAACCATATTCTTCTGAGCTTGGGTTCCCTGACTCATTGCCTGTGCTTCCTGATATGCACATAGTTAATGGGTTACATACAAGAGCAGAATCCAGGATACAAATACTTTGAATCTAAGCAGTATGTCTCACCGTCCATCCTTCTAACTCCTACAGTATACTGTGCTAGTGAGAAAACTGGGAACCAAGGAGATGAAGTGAATTCACAGAGGTTATGATAGTTAGAAATCATAGAATCACAGAATTCTAGGATTAATACGGAACTTAAAAATATTAAACATAAGTAGTCAAATATTGCAAGGGAATCTTCCTTAATACTAAAAAAACTGAAAACAAAACAAACTGACAACTTGTACCAAGGCTCTCTGCATTGCATGTCATGCCAAGATGAAGAAAATCAAACAACTTGATTTTAATCTTTGAGTTTAAGTTGGGGACTAGACATAAATCTCATTTATTCCAGAGCATTTCACTTATCATTTGTGAAAAAAAGTTATAAAGGCCAACATTTGAAATGATTCCCTTCTGCTAGTAACTAGAGTGAGACATGTGGAAAGTAGTAAACCTCCAGAGAAACATTTAGTTGGACCCACACTTGGCCAAACTCATCCCACATGTCTGTGTGGGCATCGATCCTTTTGAAAACCAATGCATGTCCCTGTGATTCCCACTTACCAGAATTCTTCTTCCTTGGTATCAGATGAGAAGGTTTTTAGAAGAATCAAATTGTCTAGTGAAGAGTAAGGACTCTCTCCACTTCCCCTCTGGATCAGAGGTACTGATAAACAAAATTATTTTCTCCTTTCATCATGCTGAGAAATCCTATCCTCCTCTCCTCCTGTCCCACTACCTTAGTAACTTTCCCATTGGTCTGAAATTCTCCCTTGAAGAATTGCAATAATTTAGACAGCAAAGTTTGTAGGTGCCCCAGAATCCAGGTAAAGGAACTCTGGTAGTAGGAATCTCTAAGTTGGAAGCTCTCAAACTAAGTTAATTAGAATAACCTGGATATTCATTAAAATGCATCCCCATCACAGATTTTATTTAGAAAGTCTGCAGTAGGGCAAAGGAACCTACATGTTAAACAAGTGTTCTGGGTGATTCTGATGCAAGGTGTTGATTCAAAGTTCACTTTGAGGAACATGGTTCCATATAATACTATAGGCACCAGAGGGACAAGCAGTTGTTGAAAGGAGGGAAGTATAGAAGCACAAGAGTATCTGGGACAAGATGGCGGCTATAGGCACTGGGCCAAGAAAAAGCAAGCCAAGCTGAGGATGCATGGAAAAAACTGTGGAACTGCTAGCATTTGGAGGTAGAGGACTATTAAAAATTAACTCTGCCTACCCAAAAAGTCTGCTTAGCTTTGTATATCCAACTTACAAAAGCATAATACAGATATTAAAATCAATTCTTGATATGAAATATTCATATGGTGTAGAATAAGGAAAAAGATAGTAATGGAAGGAGTCATAGTTAGTAAGGGACACTGGACTCTAAAAAGTCTCTAAACACAAGAGCCTAAGTGATATTCCGATAATCACCAATATTTTCAAAGTTTCAGATTTAAGGCATTATCTTCAGCTTGGGGAAAATCCTCTCCTTATTTTTCCAAGTCATGAGGAAATAGGAAAATCCTCCCTAAATCACTCTGTATCTTACCTTCTACGTTGCCGGATTCCTGACAAAATCAAGAGCAGGACTGCCACTATGACGATGCAAAATATCACACTGAATATAATAATCCAGATGGGTACAGATGGGTCAGTTGGTGGTGCAAGAGTGGAAGGAATTTTTAAAAATTCCAGGGTCTGGTCATTCAAAAAGAAGGCATTGTTGATCCGGTTCCTATTCATTCTACAGTATGATGATTAAAAACAAACAAGAGAGAAAAAAAAATTAGAAACAGAAGGTACAGACCTATCTCTCCATGATTACAATTATCTCTAGAAACAGAGCATCCCTGTAGCAAGAGACCTCAGTTTGACTAGACAGTTTGACGGGGGCAATCATGCTTTGGTACCCTTTTCGAGGCAGTGCTGGCTGCTACTGAAAGGCTCGCCTACTGCCCTCCATAGCTGGGAATGTCCTAGAAGTAACCACAACTCCTGAGCTTCAAGCTCTGTCCACCATGTTTTATTTCCAGAAAAGTAGCATCTAGATTAAGATGACACAACTCTATTTAAGGTGGCTTACACAAATACCAACAGCCAGAAGAGGTATAAGAACATAAGAAGACAAGAAAACCGGGAATAAAAAAGAAAACATGAAGCCAGGAGCAGCTGCAAATCCAACAAATTGATTTTTTTTTCATTAATTCAACAAACCTTTGCTGAAAACTTACCAAGTACCAGATATGATGCTAAGTGCTAGAGATACGAAGTGAAATGAAACTACCACAGCGCTTATAGTCTAGTGCAGTCTGGAAGGATGGCACTTCAGTCCCTCCACAATCCCAGCACAGTGCAAGATGTTCCATGACAGAGCTTAAGTATGACCACGATGGGAGACAGGGGATGGCCAAGAACATCATAGCAAGAAGTCAGGACTGCTTTCCTGAGAAAGCAACTTTTGAACTTTTGAATTCTTGTTTAGGAATTCTTGAGACCAAAGTGTATAGTGAGCACAGGATTGGAGACAAGGGTATAGTAGATTTGTTCAGGAAACTACAAGTTTCGTACAACTAAAGTCACTGGCGTTTGAGAAGTCCAAAACTCTAGAAAAATATCCAGGTAAATGAGTTACTCTTCCCCGGGGAAAATCTGCATTTTTGGTGGTGGCAGCAATTAGGGAGGGGTTGATAGTGAAGACTTACTTGACTGAAAAGAAATTAAGTGAATTTCTAACTGGAATTTGCAAACTAGATGAGGAGATTTCTTGGGGATATTGTATGGCCTTGACTGAATTCACACTAGACAAGCTGACTTCATCTGCCTCTAGAGCAGCAATGGAAAATACATATATAATGTGAGCTTCATGTGTAACTTCAAATTCTCTAGGAGGTGCATTTTAAGAAAAAGTAAAAAGAAACAGGTGGAATTATTTTAATTTTTTTAAGTAGGCTCCACACCCAACATGGGGCTTGAACTCATGGCCCTAAGATCAAGAGTCACATGGTCTACTGACCAAGCCAGCCAGGTACCCCAAAACTATTTTAATAATTTTTTTGCCCAATATATCCAGAAAAATATAATTTCAATGTCATCAATATTGAGTTGGTTCACATTTTATTTTGTACTCAATCTTTGAAATTTGATGTGTACTTTACACTTAGGGTGTATCTAATCTTGGACTAGCTATATTTCAAGTGCTCAATAGTCACATATGGGGGCTGACTACCATCCTGGACAGTGTAGGTCTTGAACCTGACCGTAACGGCTTGAGAATCTCTGCAGATCAGCACTAGGCTATCAGGAGAGACCTCCTTTAGCAAATAAAAATCAGTGAGGCATGATTATTCACGAATGTGAAAAAGAATCCCAGCCAGATAATCTATAGCAGGGGATAATTCCAATGTAATTTTTTTGTCATAATACCCTCCAGTTCCATCCATGTCATTGCGAATGGCAAGATTTCATTCTTTTTGATGGCTGAGTAATATTCTAGTGTGTGTGTGTGTGTGTGTGTGCGCGCGCGTGCACGTGCACATGTGCGCACACATCTTCTTTATCCATGGACATCTGGGCTCTTTCCATAGTTTGGCTATTGTCAAACTATGGAAAGTTTCCTTTTTCCATAACCTATCATTGATAATCTGGGAACACAAACCTCTCTACAAAATAATGAACCCCACTACCAAGGTATAGCTCAGAGTAAAATGAGATGTTGCTCTGTATTCTCATTCTATCTACCTGGTTAGTGAATACTTTGCTGTTCTTTTGCCTCTCTGGCTGATTAGAAGTTCTAGATCAGTACAGACTAAATCTCCAACCACCACTGAAATCCCCCATAGGTGTCAACAACATGGATATCTTCCAGCCAAGATTGGCCTGATAAGGCCAGGCCCTCACAACAGAGCTAAAACAGACATCTTAGAACTGGTGGGTCATTCCCTCAAGTAACCCCATAGGTGTGGACACTCTGGGGGAGAGGAAAAAACACCACTGGATGTGATGGCAGATGCCTGGGTTCAAGTCCTCACTCTTCATTTTTCTAGTGTGGTGGCCTCAGCAAATCAATTAGTCTCCCTGAGTCTCAATTCCCTCATTTATAAACCAGGGATAATAATAATCACTCAGGGGCACCTGGGTGGCTTAGTCAGTAAAGCGTGTGCCTTCAGCTCAGGTCATGATCCCGGATTCCTGGGATTAAGCCCCACGTAGGGCTCCCTGCTCAGCAGGGAGTCTGCTTCTCCCTCTGTCCCTCACCTCTTTCTCTTTCACTCAAATAAATAAATAAAATCTTTAAAAAAATAATTACTCAAAAGTGATTGGTGCTGACATTAAATGCCACAGATGTGCAGGAACACACTTTATGAAGCAGAAAGGGTTATGCAAATATTAAGTGGAACTAGCATTATTTTGCCCAACTCCGCAGATTCTTCAGCCTTGAAATTTCCTATTACCTGTCCTCTAGATGCTGTCCCCTTGCTTTTCATGCTATCCTTCTTTCTTGGTATCGTTCCCTTTATTTTCATACAATACTGATGAGACCTATCCCTAACATAAATTCTCATTCTCTCAGCCATCCTCACCCCCTAAGTAGCTTCTGCTGCTAGGACCTTTGACAGAGACATTTTGTTGTGGACATATTCACCTATATCCTCTGCCTCTACCCCCAACACTCACTCTTCTCCCTCACATTAATGGAAGCCTGCTTTCACCGCAGTGCCTTCATTTCCTTGTAGCCCTCCCAGATCATGGGGGAGGGCTTAAATAAAATTCCTTTCCATGTGAAATACAATGTTCTTAATTCTTATTCCCTAAGTGGTGGGTCTTAACAATATTTTTTAGAGGCAAAAGCACAGGAACAATGTAGTTCAAACCTTCTTGTTAAAGCAGATTAAATCATTTCCCACTATATAGATCCTCAAGGCCTTTGCTTTGGCAAGGGAAATGGATTATTGTTCACACAAAAACCTTTGGCATTAATTATATACTCATTATCTTAAATGTTAATATTTTACAGAGAGCAAATGAGTTCTTATACTAGATATTTCTCCTTGGTAAAGAGAATAATGTGCATTTCAGTAACTTGTAAGTCTGTTGTAAGGGGAGTTACTTTGTTTCATTCTTTCTTTTTCCAGAAATAGTTTATTTTCTGAACTCATTCTTCCAATATACCTTTGCCCAACATTAATCATTTGAAGGATGGGAAGTTTACATGCATAAAGTACACACTGATTGAAGTAAAAACAAACTGCATCCTTCTTTGAAGTCAAGAATGCACTTCACTTTTGAAAGTTTGTTATGATCACAAGGAGAGGCGGAGAGGAACTTTCAGGAAAAACTGTGTAAAATTTGAAATGGGTAAAAAATATTACTGATTATCTGGTGAATACAACTTTCTGGACAATTTATACCTTCTATTTGTCTTTGAGTTATTTTTGCAGATCTGTAAGTGGTAGAAAACTGACATGATGTAAATGATTTTTGTCCAGAGAAAATCAAGTGAATTGTGTCTGGTAGAATATGATTGATCACTACCTGATGGATAGAAGGGTGCATCTTTTTATAAATGGACATCACCATTCCTTGATTCCCATAGATGCATGGTTCCTTGAAGTCTCCTTTGAACTGGTTTTACTGGTTCCCTCATTAATTAATGAGACAATAAAATCTTTAGTGGCATTTATTTTTAATTTGTATAAGAGTCATGCTCTTACCTTGTTTTTTAAAAAGTATCTTTTAAAGGCAAAGACTGTACATTAACTAAAGAAGCTAAGTCCTTAGAGACCCAAAAAATGAGACTATTTTTATTGGTTTTCAAATAAAAGTCAAAGGTATGACTTGTCCTTCAAAACACCTTACATTTATTAACTCATTTAACCTTCTCAGCAACTCTGAGAGTGAGGTACCATAACTATTCCCGTTTATAGATTATAAGAGGAAAACAAAATGAGGGGAAGTAACTTGTCTGTAATCAAGAAACAAAACCAGAATTTAAGACCTACGCATTTGGGCTCTAGAATCCATGTGATAAATCATCACACAACAGCACCGTACAAGATGTTCTTGCCAAAGGAAGACAGCACTAAACATTCATAGCTAATATTTAAACCAGGGATTCTCAGCCACAGCACAATTGACATTTGGGGTTGAATAATTCTTTGTTCTGAGGTGCTGTCCTGTGCATAGTAGGATGTTTAGCAGCACCCCTAACTTCTGTCTATTCAAGACCCCACCTCCCCCATCTCAATTGTGACCACAAAAATGTCTCCAGACATTGCCAAATGTCTCCTTGGAGGCAAAATTGTCCCTGGATGAGAAACACTGATCCAAACTAATCCTTAATACAAGCTAACAAAGTTAAATCTTTCACATATTAATAATTAAATCATTGTGAAGCAGTCAGAGAATTCTTCAAAATTTATGAAAACAGTCAAATCAATCAACAAGCTGATATACCAGTAGAAGACATATTTAGTGATGATTACCTTATGGCTGACTGTATCTCAACAGCAGGAAGGGTGTGATTTTTTGAAGGATCTGTAACCACAAACCAGAATGACACCCGCTGGGTTACATTGCAAAGTAGGACGTGGGAAATTCTGCAGATGATGGTGAAAAAAAAAATACATTATAAGCAAATAATGACTAATTCCATTAGAATATCCACTCTGGTGTTATTATCATCTTAAAGGTGTCTTAGCTATGAATGAAGCCATTTCTACCATTTTAAGAAATGCCTTATTAAGAAGAAAATAACAGGAAATTTCCTTTGTTTCAAAATCAGATACTTGGGATCATTCCCAAAATAAGAATCTACCAAAATGAAAAAATAACAAAAAGTACACAGTAGAGTGTTAAGGATCTCATTCTCCATCACCTGTTAGCTGACAGCACCCCTACTTCCCCAACACTGGGCCTCTTTCTGAACCACAGATGCCTTTGGTATTTCCTCATCAAGCTCTTTTTAGTCTCATCCCACCTTCCACATCTCAGATCCAGACAAATCAGTTGCCACCCCTTTACATGCTTGCTGTGTTGGCCACACCGCCGTTCCTCTCCCACTCCAGTACTGGAGCGCCAAGCTGAAGTGCTATCACCAATTTCCAGCAGCCTTTAAACACGGTTTCTGCAATTACCTGGTTTCCAAATGTCAATTGGGAATGTGCCACACCACTCTGTATACATACATTACCAGTAGATATGACAGGAAAGAAATGACATTAGTGTTCAGATTGGAGACAATTATATATGAATGTATGAAAGATATAAAGGTTGAAAATTATAGGAGAGTCCACATAACTCAACGTTGTCAGGGCTAAAACATAAATCATGAATGGCATTCACCATTTTCTTAAGAGCACAATTGCAAAAAGGGACATTAGCAACCATTCTGGAAGATGGAAGCACACATCCCCTTTACTAATAAACGTAGATTCCTCTTCCTTTGAAAGAGCATCCAAGCGCGTTATGTTCATTTATACAGTAATGAAGGAGAGTGTCATTCCATCGGTTTTCTGTAATTTCCAGGACCTGATCGAAATGCCTACATTTTCTCCCTTTCAGTGTCAGGTACAAAAGCCGAAGCCCTCGAGGCCCCTCTGCCTAGAAGCCAAGCGCCTGGGACCTGCAGTGGGAGCTGGAGGTTCCCCTGTCCTCAGTAGCGGCAGGCGCCCGGGGCAGTCGCCACGTCCGCGGGGCCCTGGCCTGGCTCGTGCCGGACCCGTGTCCAGAGGTTCCCCACGCGAGACCCCACGTGCCGCCCTCGCGCCCTGATACCAACGGTCGCTCTAGCCCTGCGAGTTCCGCGTCCGCAGACTCTCGGGGCACTTGTGGAAGCCGCGTTTCCTCGTCGGAGGCCCCGACCCCGCCGCACCGCGAACATGGGCAGCTACCTGAGCAGATACGTGGGCAGATACCTGGGCACAGCCGAGGCCGCGCTGCCACGCCCCGCTTGGAGGTGCCGGTCCCTGCGGCCCAGGCCGGCCCACCGGCCCCTGGGCCCGATTCAGAGCCAAGTCATCTCCATGCACCGGGGGCGCCGGATCGCCCGCCCCGCCCCACCCTGCCGCCCCACCTGGACCAGCCCAGAGTCCAGAGGGCGATAGTCCCCAAGGCCTGGAGGCGCTGTCACGGCAGGTCACCCCTCCACACCTTCCTGGGGTTGGATTTCTCTAGCAACCGCGAGAGTTTCGTGAAGCAGTGGCTTTGGAAAGCCCAGAACCTCCGAAACATCTGGAACATGCGGACCATCAAAATCACTCCTGCCGAGCGCAGTGGGAGCTTCAGCAGGGGCCCACCCATCCAGGAGCAGCCAGACTCCTGTGCCAAGGAGACCCGGCTGAGGGCTCGGAGCCCGTGCCAGAAAGGAAAGAAGAGGATCCACAGACCTCTCCAGTTTGAAGCCCCCCACGCCAAGAGAAGGAGGCCGAGCCCAGGGGCCGGGCCATCTGCCTTCAAGCCTGTGTGCAAAGACGGAGTGGTCCCTTCCTTTGTGCCCAGGCCTGGGCCTCTGAGAAGGGGCCTCTGCTCCTGGCATCCTGGCATCCTGGTGACGGAGCGGACGCCCACCCCGGGCCTGACCTGCTGCCAGGGCACCACCAGGCCACCGCAGAGTCCCCGGGCCTCGGCTGAGGAGCTGATGATCAGCACTCCCCAGGGCCTGGGCCCTCCTGCAGCCTGGGGTCCCCCTTGAATCCTCAGCCAGGGCCCTGCCCCCACCACCTCCTGAGACTCAAAGCCACAGTTCTTTTACCCTGCTGACCCCTGCTCTGCCCCTGCATGAGTGACTGACCCCACCAGTCAGCCCTCACCACCCCAGCAGGCAGCCCCTCCAAGCACCCAGACCCACCTCCCCTGACCCTGCAGAGTCCACACTGAAGAAACACCGTTGCTTTCAAAACCTCTGCCTTCCTCCTGCCCACCCACTCCTCCTGCCTTTTCCCTGGAAACACTCTTAGCAGGAAGGCATGCTTCTCCCCTATAATCCCAGTTTCTAGAGGAAAACGGTGTTCTTATTTTTAAAATAATAATAAACAACTTCATTATCATACAGAGTGTCTTTGTCTTTCTTGCAAAGGTACATATATTAGGATTTCGTCGACACCATGGATTCTCTACCCTGGCACGGTAAACATTTGGGGCCAGATAATTCTTTGTTGTTCGTTGGGTGCTGTCCTCTGCATTGTAGGGTTTTAGCAGAATCCCTGGCCTCTATCCTCTAGGGGCCAGCAGCATACCGACGTTGTGTAAATACAAAAAAATATTTCCAAACATTGCCATATATTCCAGAGGGACTTGGAGGGGGTGGTGTGGGAGGGGGGGCGGGGGTGGAGCGGAAAGCACTCAAAAAACAAAGCACCACATTTTTTAAAAATTTAAAACACAGCAAAGATACAGAGATGAACAAACCGAAGTGGTACATGTTTGGCCAAAACATTTCCCCCAGGTTTGGAGAATACTGTGGAGTGTGAATGATTCAAATAGATTGGCCCTATTAATCATCAGAAAATGTAAATTTTTAAAAAAATAAGCTACTCTTTCAAGCTTCTCAGGTTGGCAAAATGAAAATGCTAAAAACTATGAAATGCTGGTAAAGATGCTGAGAATTGGAACCCCAGGCAGTGCTCTGGGTGTGAATCTGCAGCAGGACTTGGAAGTGTTTCCTAGAGCAGAGTGTGACTATGAGAAACTCTCTTCCACACACACACACACACACACCGCATACACCACACACCAAATACACCCCCCACACGCAAACCACACACACAGCACATACGCCACACACACTACACACCATACACAAACACACCAAACACACACACCACACCAAACACAACACACCACACACAGCACATACACCACACGTCACACACACACACCCCAAACACACACCCCCCACACACAGAGAGGTGAGGATGTTGTTCCCAGCACTCCGTCAGAGCAGAGAACTGGAACAACCTAAATGCCCACCCGCAGGGGGATGGATAAAGCAAACGTGCTATGTGCTATCACGGGAATACTGTTCCACAAACTGAAGGAAAGAAGGAGCCCAAGGATTCTCCACTCGTGGGCTACTGGGCCACGTAATTCTGTGCATTGCAGGATGTTGAACGGCACACCAGGCCTCTATCGCCCGGATATCAATGGGACCAGCTCCAGCGGTGACAGTCAGATGCATCTCCAGACATTGCCAAGTATCTCCAGAGGGACAAACATCACCCCCAGTTGGAAATCACTGAACTCCATATTTTTAACGACAGGCTACATCTCAAAATACACTGCTGAGTGGAAGAGATGGGGAGTGGTATATTATGTGTGGCACATGCCATTTACAGAATTTAAACAAATGCAAAGTAATATTGCTGGATTAATGGGGAAGCCAGGAACCGGGTTAAGAGGTCATCTGGACGCTTTGCCTGCATTGTTCTTTCCATCTAAAGCCTCTTTAAATCCTGTTCAAACATGAATTTCACGGCATCCCCCTTTAGAGAGTCAGAGAATAAACAAAGCAAAGTCTCTTCTCCCATGGAGCTTGCTTTGTAAGGGGGTGCAGAGAGAAGGTAAACAACTAAATAAATGGACACACTAGCAGGTGTGGAGAAGTGCTATAAGGAAAAATAAAGGAGGAGGAAGGACACATACAAGTCCACCAACACAACCGTGACCCCACGTACTTTCCTGTGTCCCCATCACTGTGGAACTACACCATCCTTTACTACGAATTCAAGTTCTTTACTCGGGGTTTCCATTGGTGGCAACTCATGCTTTCATGTAGCACCTCGGCAAAGAGATTGAAAATATTTTATCTACCTACATATAAAGATTTCTAGAAGATTCAAATTGTTGCTGAAACATTTTCAATGTTGACAGTTACTGTTAGATACAAAATGTCCTGGACTGAACCTCTAGATATCAAGTGTGTGTTTTGAAGTTTACTACCTGCCATTTGCTAGACTTGAGACAAGGCATTTCACTCTACATGAGTTGCTACAAAGGGCTTGAGATCTAGTGTGTCCACGAGGGTGCTGGTGGTATTTTGAGTAGGAGATTCCTAATTACATGGGACTGTCCTGAGCTTAGCACCATGTTGATTATCTCTCAGCCTTGCTGTCTAAATGCCACAACACTCCCCAGGCATAGATGTAGTCCAAAACACACATTTCCATATGCTACCTGGATGGGGTCAGAACCGTACCCACATAAGAAACACGTATAAACCTCCTCCAAAGTGTCAAGGTCCTGAAAACCAAGGCAGACCAAGTTCATGAAAACCAAAGGAAGATGGAGAAACTGTCTCTATCGCTGGGGTGATCATCGAGGAGGCATAGGTTCTGGAACAGAAGAAGGACATTAGAAAAAAGGGAAGTAGGTCTGAAAAATTCCATTAGTTTAATAATATTGAAATAATGGTAGTTCCTTAATTTTGATATATCTATCATGGTTATTTAAAATAATAGCATTAGGGAAATGAGTGAAGAGTCTAGAGCAGTTTCTCAAACTCAGCACTATTAACATTTTAGACTGGGTAAGACTTGCTTGTGGGAGGCTATTCTTTTGTAGGATGTGTACCACATCCCCAGCCTCTACATGCTCGAGGCCA